TTAAGCTGCTCCAGAATGGTTCGTTATCCCTTTGTTAACAAAAAAAATAACGAATTTTTAACGAATTACGAATTAACGAAACGAAACCGCCCAGCCCTAATATCTAGTGTCAGAAGCCTTCGAATTCTTGGAGAACACAAATTGAAATATAACACTGTCACTGTGTGCTCCATTTGGGCTTCCCATTGGTATGCTTTCTTTGGTTACTGAGAAAACAAAATTATGAACTAGATAGTCTGTTGTCTCATCCAGTAGATGTAGTAGACAGACATCTTTATGTTCTTAACATGTAAAATGCATTCCATGTTGATTTCCTAAAATGTTTTCCTTCTGTTGCATTCTTTTGGGTGTTACATGTCTTTTAAAATGTATCAATTAATTTATCACCCAGAGAATAACTTAAGTTATGTTTTTTGACACAGGTAATGAGAAATCCTTGAAAAACATTAGTAGGCAGTAGTGCTCTTGACCAGAACATTTTTGAGTACACTTTCTGGTTTGGTTTTTTTAAAAAATAATGAAAAAACGAATAATAAGCACTGAAAATTAATGGTTTATTCGGGCATGTTAATTCTTATCACTTTTTCCTCTTCCATTCCCATTTTAATTGCTTTAAACACTTGGGAAATGAGAATCCAGTAGTAATTAAGAATTAACATGATGCCTGTTTCATATGTTCAACTTCTCCATTAGTGCATTAACCAAAAATAAAAAAGCAAAATGCCTTCAAGTATAGGGCTTGCTTTTCTCTTTCATTTTCTTGAGTTTGTAGTATACAAATGAAAGCTACAATTCATTATTCATTTACCCTGTAGAATAAATCACAATATACAATATATATATTTATAAAATAATATTGTATCACATTGAAAATAAATTCTTGCTAGAGCCCCTCTCTTAATCTAATATTATTCTAGTGAAGATTATTTCCATGTTTGAGCTTTAGAGAATTCATAGATATAAGATAAACCCATTACCCATTTCACTCACAGGGTTATTCCCATGACTAAACCCACAGTCTCTAGGGACTAAACCAGCTAATAATAAACATCAAAAGAAGGTGAAACAAAAAAAATTTGTCCAACCATAAAGCTGTGGTAGCAAAACTTATATTCATGTCAATAGATCACAAGGCACTATTATATCTACATAGCTGCCCTCCTAATTTTGTGACTCTATGCCCTTTGCAGTGTAAGCATTCCATGTGGACCGCATAATGCTTAAATGCATGTATCACATGCACTGTTGTACTTGCTTACAGTTTTAGCATACATGTAACTCATAGAGGTCACTGACTGATGAAGTGCTATCATCATGACCCAAATAGACCCATTTATGATCCCACAGCAAGCTGGCTTCAGGAAAGGCAAAAGTTGCATGTCACAAGTGTTGAAACTGACTCAGCACATAGAGGACAGTTATGAAAGGCAGCAGATTACAGGAGATGTCTTCATAGACGTGACAGCAGCCTATGACACTGTAAATCATTGCCTTCTCCTGAGGAAAATTTATAATATCACAAAGAACTAACACCTCACCTGCTTCATACGAAATCTGCTACAAAACAAGAGCTTTTTGTTGAATTCCAGGGCCAGAGAAGCAGATGGCAAAAACAGAAGAACAGCCTGCTTCAGGGGAGCGTGCTGCTCCACAATGTTCAACATTTAGACATCAGCCACTGCCAGAAGGGACAGAGAGTTTAATCTATGCTGACAATTGTGCCATCACCACTCAAACAGGGAGCTTTGAGATGGTCGAACAGAGGCTCTCCAAAGCTTTAGGCGCTCTTAGTGCCTATTACAGGCGAAACCCAGCTGATTCCTAATCTATCTAAGACACAGACATGTGCTTTTCATGTTAAGAACAGACAAGCATCTTGAGCTCTGAGGATTACCTGGGAAGGAATCCCACTGGAGCATTGCAACACACCCAAATACCTGGGAGTTACCCTGAACTGTTCTGTGACCTACAAGAAGCACTGTCTGAATACCAATCAAAAAGTGGGTGCTAGAAACAATGTCATATAAAAGTTGACTGGCACAACCAAGGGATCACAATCAGAAACAGTGAAGACATCTGCCCTTGCGCTTTGCTACTCTGCTGCTGAGTACACATGCCCAGCATGGAACACATCTCACCATGCTAAAAAATGTATGTGGCTTTTAGTGAGACATGCCGCATTATCATAGGCTGTCTGTGCCCTACACTGTTGGAGAAATTCACTGTCTAGCCGGTATTGCACCACCTGACATCCTCTGGGGAGTAGCAGCTAATAATGAAAGGACCAAGGCAGTGACATCTCCAGCCCATCCCCTGTTTGAATATCAGCCAGCATGCCAAAGCCTTAAATCAAGATATAGTTTTCTAAGATCTACAGAGATACTCACAGGAACATCTCAGTAAGTGAGAGTCCAAAAGTGGCAGGCTAAAACCCAGCACCTCAGTCTATGGTTGATATCGAATGAGAGACTCCCTCCTGGGCACACAGAGGACTGGACAACAGACTGCGCTCTGGCACCATGAGATGCACAGCTAACCTTAAGAAATGGGGCTACAAAGTGGAGTCCATGACATGTGAGTGTGGAGAAGAGCACAGACCACCTATTACAATGCAGCTTGAGCCTTGCCACATGCACAATGGAGGACCTTCTTATAGCAACACCAGAGGCACTCCAAGTGGCCAGCTACTGGTCAAAGGACATTTAATAGAATGCCAAGTTTTTAAACTTTGTGTTTTCTCAAATGCATTGGTTCACTCCTGATACGAGATATAAATAATCATGATTATTTCTATCCCACTTTTCACCTACTATAAGACTGAAGGCATCTAACATAATATTTTTTTAAAATACATATTAAAAACTATATGATAGCATTAATAAAAGTATAAGGTTTTAAAAACAAATAATTTACAAGTTAAAAATTAAATATTTAAATATTGAAATTCGTTAAAAGACCATATATAATTATGTATATAAAGTTTGGTGAGGCTTTAGCATTTTTTTTTTGACAGAGATGGCTAAAGATTTTGTGAAAATGTAACTCCCATGATACCGTAGAATTGAAGTGTTGTCAAGCTGCATGCATTTTACAGTGTAGATGCACCCTAATTTATCACATGAAATGTGGGTGCATTTGCAGGACATGCATGGATTAATTTAATAGGGAAAAAAAATCTTTAATCCACAAGAATCTGCTTTATAGTGAAGCAGACCATTGCTCCATCTAACTCAGTATTATCCTGCTTAACTGGTAGTGGCTTTCCAACATATCGTACTTTTCTAGTCTCACTTGGAGATGTCAGGGACTTTGGCTTATGTAGGATTTGCTCCAATGATCCCAGAAAACTTCTCCTAGCCAATCTCTATATAAATTAGAAGTGAATTAGGCCAAGAGATTCAGTGCCAGCCATTGACTCTCTGCTTATTTTAATATTTTGCGTAAATGAAAGAAGAAATAGGGTAGCATTTTGAATTCTTCCAATAAACCTGTTCCAATAGTTCTGACAGCAATAATAAAAATCATCATCATCATCATCATCATCATTATCATCATCTTTGAGGCAGAGGAGCATGCATGTCACCCACCACCATCATGTCTGTTTCTATGTCCACACAGAGAGTTTCTTTCTAAAGTAAAGGATCTGTCTGTGGGATTTGAAAGCAGTACTTGAAAATTGCATAGAGAAGCTCCACTTACAGAAAATGGCCAAATACTGGTTTCTACTTGGTTTCTCTCTCTAGGATACTCACTAATACTTCCTAGTTGCTACAGTAAAAAGGAAGAATAAACATTTCTCCTACCACTAAAATTACATCACCAAAGTTGCTATTTGTTCCATGGAATATCATACAAATGATTAACATTGCCTGGCAAGAGCTATCCAAAAAAGAAACCCTGGATAGACTTGAAAGTTTCTCTCTCTAATATTGAGCTGAGAGGGCTGTATCAACTTGTTCTGGGTCCTTTTAATCCCTAGAAATGTTAAAGTAAAATGCAATTCTCTGCTAGTTTCATTCTCAAGGGAAGGAACAAGTAATTATAGCAATGTTTTTTTCTTCTGTTAGAAAGTTTTTGAAAATTATTCGAATTCCTCACAGTTTTGAACTTCTGTTCAGAATTCACATGGGTTTTTGTTGTTGTTGTTGCACATAAATCAGCATTGTCTGCACAGGTTGAGGCATACTCTGCAGAGAAAATGATGATCTGGCACAAAACTGTATTGTTTACAAAAAAAATGTTTTCTGTGCAGAATTTTATTTTTGCGAAGAATAACTCCCAAACTCTAAAGAATCCAGAATATTATTATTATTATTATTATTATTATTATTATATTATATATATATATATTATTATTATTATTATTATTACTTTATTTGTACCCTGCTAGCATCTCCCGCAGGACTCGATGTGGCTTACATAGGCCAAGGCCTCAAAACACAATACAACAGTACAATACCTACAGCAAATTAAAAACAGTTAAGCAGAAATAAACAACAGCAATAACAATACATCAAGACATCAAGACAATATAAAACTGGGCCAGGCCAGAGTAATGGGTACAAGATTAAAAGTGCTGATGTGGCAGGAGGTATGTAGGATTATAAAGTAAGTGCAGTGTGCGGTGTGCAGCGATCTTAGTTCTACATTTTCCTCATCAGGGGTATCCAACACTGAGAAACATCTTTGTTTTTCCACATTTTTTAATTCTCTCAATTCCCCCCCCCCCCTCAAATATTTGTAATTTTCTCCCTTCTAGCACTGGACTTCTAACTCAAATTAACATTTTAAAGCTATATCAGATCCTGTTTGGCTACACCACATTACATCTAGTTTGGCTTTTATGATGCTTACTTTGACAGGTTTGCAAATCCTGCTTTAGGAACAAACATGTCATTTCTTTCTTTAGCTTTGTAAAAGTGCTACTTTGACTGTACAATATAAATAAGTAGCACCAGATGGTTGAATTTTCTTATGAGTTATTATGTTTTTATTTTCAGTTACATGACAGATGGAGGACTCAACCTGTATACAAGGAGTTTGAACCGAATACCAGATATAGCTGCCTCCCGAGATGTCATCCAAAGAGGGGTACATGATGTCACTGTGGATGCAGACAGGTAACACCTCATTTTGAGGGGTAGATCCAAAAATAAAGAACATTAAAGAAGGTTTAACTTCCGTTTTAGCAAGTTATGTCCAAGCTATTCAAAAGATGCTCTTATCCTATACAAGGTTCCTTGGGCTTCCAGCAATTATTGGTGGGTTCTTGATTCTGCCACTCTCATATTTGCTGGGTGACTGTAGTAAGACCTTCTTGGTTAGGCTCTCTGCATCTATTTCTTCTCTGCAGAAGAAAACAAAAACCCATTTATTTGAATCAGCTTTGACCATTAACAGGTTTATCAGGATTTTAATTAGGGTTCTATATTTTTATTAATGTGTTTTTGAATTGCTTTTAATTCAAGTCAGTTTTAACAATTTAATATATCTCATTATGTTTTAATTTTGGAACCTCGTGTTCCAATGATCTGTAGTCATTGGATATATACAGAGAAAAACAAAAATATGATATCCTAACAAAATTTCTTATTATTGGCATGTTCAGTAGCAGCCTGGAAGGTTCAAAATTAGTTTGTTAAGTGCTGTCACTGTTTGGTTTTCACCATAGTGCAATGAAACAGGTTATTAGAAAATGAAGTTGGAGAAGCTTTCAAACAACAATGTCCATTATCAATATTTGGATTAATTTTGCTCTCAGATATCAGCAATAAATTGATGTTTTAATAGAGCAGGGGTCCTCAAACTAAGGCCCGAGGGCCAGATACGGCCCCCCAAGGTCATTTACCTGGCCCTCGCTCAGGGTCAACCTAAATCTGAAACGACTTGAAAGCACATAACAACAACAACAACAACAATCTTATCTCATCAGCCAAAAGTAGGCCCACACTTCCCATTGAAAAACCAATAAGTTTATATTTCTTAACATTTCTTAACATTGTTAATTTTAATTATTGTATTGTTTTAAAGTGTTTTTTTTTTGCACAACAAATAAAATATGTGCAGTGTGCATAGGAATTCATTCATGTTTTTTTTCAAATTATAATCCGGTCCTCCAACAGATTGAGGGACTGTGACCTGGCCCTCTGTTTACAAAGTTTGAGGACCTTTGGAATAGAGTTTAAATGTACTGTAGTTTTTGTTTCATGGCATAGCTTATCTTCAACTACATGTGCATGAGAGACAGTGATTTCCCTTTTCCAGGAACGGTGCCCACTGACCAGCTTGAAAAAACAACTGTAGTTTCCAGCTAAACCACTTCCGGTTTAGACCTTTCCCACATTACTGCATCATCTCTTTCCATATAATAGATGTTGCAACAGTTGTCACAGACTCATTTCAGGATAATCTGATGAGCTGCTCAATTAAATGTCTATCAGTGTAGTTTATTGCAAAGAAGCTATAAATGTACTATTTTTGCTCCAGCCTCTGAATTCCATGTTGGTGTCAGATTTAAGAGATGGGTTTAAATAGCAGTATCTTTTCCTGTCCTTGCAAATGAGAGTTTTAAAGGGCTGAACTGCAAAGTCAACATTATTGCATACAAATCTAGAAGGATCAGAGAAAATTTTAATAAATGTTTTGTGAACAGTGAATCACCCTCTTATGGATTACAGTCCCCCTGTCCTGTTCAAATATCTTGCCCTGAGCAATAAAATCACTGAAAGGTTGTTGAATTTAATTCCTAAGACTGATTCTCTGTTTGGTAAATGTTATCTGCCTGCCTGAATATCACTGCTGACCATCTGTTTCTCATTACATTGGCAGTTTCATCCCTGTTCCCATGAGCTCTTGGTAATTAGTGAGAAAGTGGTTGCTGCACTTCTATCACTTGTTTAAAGACTATGTGATGTAATTCCTTTAAAAAAAATGGGCTGCACAGTGAAATGCATTTTGCTAAACATCAGGTGAAAAGTTGCATTTCCACATTAGCGAATTATTTATTCGATCAATGGTAGCTGAAGGCTTCCATGCAAGTGAGTGATACAGTAACTTTAGATTTTAACTATAAGGGAACTGTTCAAGACCCAGAATATCAAAACTAGCACCTTGGACAGTTCTTTTTAAGTTTGACTTCAAACCAAGTGTGGATTTCATACCTAGTGATATGGAATTCACCAGCCACAGTTGCACTCATACAAAACATTTTTCAAGAGATATATGTGCTTGCCATCCTTGATATTCAGCCTGTGTCATAACAATACCCATGTATTACTGTTTTGAGCCAAGAGGAAGGGCAGGATGGAAAATATCATGGAATCATAGAGTTGGAAGAGACCTCGTGGGCATCCAGTGGGTTATGAACAATTCAATAACAATGTGGGCTTCCTCCAATACAATACAAAAATCACCAGAAAAGCCTTTGCCATTTAAGGCCATCTAGCTATGCCTTTTATTGTTACACTTTCTTTATTAGTTTTCAGTTTTTATAACTCTTTTCTAACATCTGTTAGTTCTAACAACCTCTGATAATTGCTTCCATTAGTTTGATTTTATCCTGCAATTTTATTGTCTTGTGCTAAATCTTGATTCCATTTTACATCTGGTTCTTCTATGCTGTTTTTTTTAAAAGGAAAATTAATAGAGAAAAACATTCTAGATATTTTGTATCCTGGATTTTTATAGTTGGTTTAAATAAGAGTAACTGCAGACCATATTGTTTCAAATATATCAATGCGCATAGGAGGCATAGGTATTTAGGAGTCTTTCTTTAGATAAAGTAACTCCCATCACTACTTTAAAAATCTGTTTTTTTTAAGCTGATAACCTGAAGGTTGGTATGCAGATTGTGATATTGTATGATACCGTTATTAATCATGGGATACAACTATGAAGATATAAACATTTGCTTCCAGTACCTTGATTTTGTAGAGTTAAATCCAAAATGAAATAGATTTGTAATCTTTTATGTGTGTGTGTTTGGTCATAAATAGTGCAAAAGACTGTCGAAAATGAAAGGAAATCTTTTTCCTTCCCTCCATTTGACCACTGTTATGTTAAAAAGCTAGTAAGAGCATGGGCCTATATTACTATTAAGGCGAAAATGCAGTGAAAGCCAAAGGGGCGAGGAATGCCCATTCTTCCACATCACTGGCGAATCAGTCAGATTCCATCCCACATGATTTTAATAATTTTCTTTCATTGGGAGCTCAGAAGATGAGTGTCTCACCATCTCCTGTCCCTCTCATTTTCTCTAAACTTCTACTCAATTTCAGGGATGAAGTGTAATGCATGACAACTGGAAGTAGTTTTATGTCGTGTGAAGGGCTCAGTGGCATTTCGTCCCTGAAATGTCTTTGAAGTATGTGGAAATGGGAGGATTTCCATCTGATTAGGTTCTAGGTTACCTCCCATTTACTTTACTATAATGCACTATATGCAGTGTTGTGTTTTAAAAGTGTTTAGAAACTTCAGTTAGTACAAAGACCTGGAGCCAGACTGTTAACTTGTACTGACTACAGAGAACTACACATCTCCCTTGTTGCAGTAGCTCTGCTTACTGCCAGTCTGGTTCTGGGACCAAGTCAATTCAAATCAGTACATCTCAGGTCCTGCTTCTGCCATATGAGCCTGCCTATGTTTTGGGAACTTTCAGTGTGGCAGGTAGTTTTATTGGGAACACAAGAGATGGCTCTCTCTGGACCTCATCATATCGGGATATAATCAATTTCTGAGATTCTATGGATGTGATTCCCATCAGATCCTATCACATGATGTTTGTCCCATTCTGTCAGTAGTCCATTGGAATCTATCTGCAAAATATCACAGAAATTGAGTAATGACACATGGGGATTCTAATCATGTTATTTTTAATTTAATACAATTTTGAGGTGCTGTTTTTAATGTGTGATGGTAAATTAGTATGCATTTTGTCAGCTAAAATCTCATGAGGGTGGTAGTTCAAGACTTCCAGGCCATGTCACAGCACAATATTAGGGCCGGGTGGTGGTGGGGGGGGGGGGGGGGGGGGGGGGGGGGGGGGGGGGGAGTGTGGCATTCAAACATATTGGAAGGAGCTAGCTTTCTGTGGTTTGATAATTTAAGGCACAGCATTTTTAAAACATATGCATCCCATCTGAATACTGTACGCATCTAGTCCTAAAACAAATACAGGATGCATACTGATATAAATGGAGTATACCCCAATGGGATAAGGATTTTGAAGTTCCTCCCTGTCGAAGTTAGCTTATGGGCCTTCTTCTTGTCCTTCTGTAGCCAGGTGATGATCTTGTTTTGGCAGGTCTTTGAGCAAAGATTTCTCAGAGAAAAAGGCCAATCAGAATCTCCTGGTATGTTACTTTTAATGGGCATGCATTCAATTCTACTATTAGGTTACTTGCATCTTTAGATTTTTTACGATACAGATTTTCAAGCTATTTCTGTTTTAACCTCTTTAAGCTACCTTGTGTCATGGACTGGGGAGAAACCAGGAATTAATAAAAATATTAGTAAAGTATAATAGCATGGATTTAATTGTAAGCAGTACTAATCTGTCACTGAAGAAAAACAGTATGGAAGAGTAGCTTCATCATAGATTCCAAAGTAACTGGGATATTGCTTTCTATAATCTCAATTTATGCATATCCATAAGTAGGGAACAATATTATTACAAACATTATTTGGTCCAAATATGCAAGCACTTAGCGAACAGTCACTGAATAAAAATATGACTTTGCTTTGGTTTTTTTGTTTGTTCTTTTTTATTAGTCTTAATCTGCATTTGAAACATGAACACTTACATTTTCTACTTGTTGAATTAAAAATGTTTGGAATAAAATGCTTTTTTTACAATAAAAAAGATGATAAAAGGCAAGTTTTTAACGGACATTTGCGAGCTTGCAGTTTTAGCCTTTCCATCCTTTGAATGCTAATTTTCAGAGACTTACTGCTATAGAAAATGTCAGCAGTACAGCCATTCTGTTTGTTTCCTTGATTTCTGTATCATTCCCATGTTTTATTATACATTTTTTTTGCTTGGAGGCTAGATTTTCATTTCCTTTCAATTTCAATTATCCTAGTTGAGGGAAAATTTAGCAGGGTTTCTTTTGCAGCCCATTAC